AATAATTTTTGTTACTCGTGTTAGGTCCAGTTTCGCGAATTCTTTTTACATTGCAAAAGTTCACTTTAATCACTGTCATTCATTAATTTTTTTGAATTTTGCGACTTTTGTTCGTAAACTTCCAAAAGTAGGTTTTCAAATTGTTGCTGTTGATTAATTTTTAATTACCTCTTTTTAAACAAATTTCACAAGGCACCACAGTAGTAAACAATAATAACACACACTTGCCATAACTATAACCTCACTTTTCTAATAAATTAACCGAAGAGAATTGGTTAGTTTACATACTAACCGACGAGCTGGTTATTATGTATTACTACGAATATTTAGTTCACACTTTATCCAAATACTGTGGATAGTTTGTAAACTAGCCAAAAATGTCGGTTAATTTGTGTACTTTTCTTGTGGTTTGTACTATGGCGATAAATATTGTATAGTTTGTAAACTAGCTGGTTAGTATACAAACCAACCAATATTCATAGCTATTTTAGTAGAAATATGATTTTCCATCAAAATAGCAGGACATTTGGATAGTTTGTATACTATCCAGCTAGTCTATAAACTAGCCAAGTAAACACTTTAACCGTAACATATATACCAAATTTAAAATACAGGGCGTTCCGATGTTATGCTACTGAAATGCTGATTTTCTTCATATGGAATGTTTTTAGATTATGCAGTACATTGTTCCACTTATCTTTCAAAAAAAAATTAATGAAGCGTTAATTACGACACCCTATAAGCATATAATTTTCGATATCTTAAATCAATCAAATAATGGATGTAAACTGGATATGTTAAACATGTATAGGATATATCCATTGGTTACTTATGAACCTCTACTAAAGGTACCCATTAGATATTTTGCTGGATATTCATAGAATATCTTCTATATCCTGGATATAGACGGACATTTGGATATCCATATTAGATCCACTGGATATCTAAGATATACTGTGGATGTATTGGATATTCTGTGTATATCTTTGAGCTTTCGGGTATTGTCTGGGAGATACCCATTAGATATTTTGTTGGATATCCAAAGGATATCTTCTATATCCTGGATATAGACGGACATTTGGATATCCATATTAGATCCATGGGATATCTATGATATCCTGTGGATATATTGGATATCCACAAAAGATATTCTGTGGATATCTCTGGAATTTGGTGTGTTGTCTGGGTAGGCATTATAATGCGAGCCATTTCCGACTAATCTGATCATGATACCCTTTAACTCCATCTGCCAGACTTTTTTACGACCTCCCTTTTTGTTAAAACTCGGAGCTGTAAGAACATCGATAAAGTAAATGTGATATAAATTAGTGTAAATGTGTCAAATAAATTAGAATATAGGTAAAGATAAATTATTGTTGTAAATAAATTTATGGGGTTTAAATAAATAAATATAAATAAACTGTTTTAAAAATAAAATAAACTATTTTTAAATTAACAGATTGCAGAGGCCCCCTAGAACAAATCCTAAATTCGCCACTGAGTGTTGTTTATTTATTTTAAATTTAGTTTATTTGCAAACCTTTGTGAACATGTGTAATCATTTCGATTTACAAAATTTTGTTAAAATTGTCTTGAAAAACAATGAAGAGAACAGGTACTGTGTGAAAACTTCGGTTTTCTTTTGTTTACATTTTTATGTGGCAAATCATTATTCCCACCAGATCCCACAAAACAGAATCGGCGCAAGTTTATATAATCGATTTTATTATCTGTTGTGTTGTTTATTTTGTTCTTCTAGTAAAGGTTTTATTTAAAACATTATTTTTTAGTTTAGTCGTTTAGTGTTTTATTTTAATAAAAAACATTTGTGGTTTAGTGTTAAATTTTTACAGGATTTTCAAAATCTCTTTTTGTTTTGTACGTGAATGTAACAATGCATCTAACGGTAGAAGATACAAGGAAGGAATAACATTTCATGTGTAAGTTTTCTTTCATGTGTAAGTTTTCACAAATATTTGTGTATTTACAAAATCAAATAATTTGTATGTTTTGTTGTAGCATACCAAAAAATGTTAGGAAAGAATAACTGATAGCCATAGGAAGACCATTAAATCATTTTGTGACTTTAGTATAAGCCCAGAAAATTTGGGGATACTAGCTGAAACGGCAAATGTGTTATTGGCTCCTTGTTAGTGACCTATTGTACAATTTTTCCAACACAAATTCCATGATCCTTTGAACTTGGCTGCACCGTACTGATGAAGACCAATAGTCAGAAAAACGTGTCGACCGTTACTTCTTTTTTACTTTTTTTTATTCGGAAAATGTCCACTATTACTACCTTGATACAATATTAGTTCCGTTCTAAGTAGGTACATATTATAGTTTGTATGTTTTATGCTTTATTTTATTATATGTAATAAATGATAGGAAATATACTTTTATAGTAAATAAATTGATTAAAGCAATATGTAAGAATAAGTTTATCTAAGGATTAAATTGTTAAAGCAATTTTTCATATCCATTGTTTATTAATTTGTTTCATTTAATTCTTTCTTATTGAGTAAGTTATTTCATATAAATATGCGATACTTGTAAAATGTAATATTTTCTTTTAAATAGGTATATATTATGTTCGTATAAAATATTGTTCAGTTAATAAAAACAGAAATATTTTGTCTTTTATTCAAAAGAAGTTTGTAAATTTTTCAAAATATATTTACCTACCCCAAAAAAAGATTAATAAAACCAGTTAGTCATATACACATTTTCTATATATTTATAGAGGTACTTTTTAAATAACTTTCAATACATTCGAAATCTGTGGTTTTATTAAACTCAATGTAACAAATAATAATAGGTATTCTCAAAAATATTTAAAAATAAAATCGAGATGGGACTCTTGTATAATTTAGTGACTATTCGCCTATGGTTAGTGCACTGCTGTATGTCCCTGGGTTTTCTACATTAGAACAATACTGCTTCTCCACTCTAGCAGTATTTTTTGAATCTCAGATTATATTTATTAAAAAACCAAGGAATTGTTTTGGGCCTATTGCTGGGCCCTTTTCCAACATTCCCAAAGTTTTTTTTTTTACTTTCTGCTGATTGGATCTCCGATAGCGACAACTCCATTTGTTGTTCCACTAGTTTTTTATCAAATTTTTAAAATAACTTCTATATATTTATCTTTTGCAATGACTTTGCTTACCTGCTTCATAATCTCTTTCCTATGCCCCAATTTCTCTAACAGGTGAGATCTTATACTCGCTCTATTAAATCAAATTATCATAGTTTATTTGAAAATGCTTGGTAGCACAGTTTTTATGGCAAAGGTCCATATTTTTATATAATTTTGCTATTATTCATTTTCAAATAAACTATAGGAATAGGAGTAATCTATTAGTTTTTCTAAAAATACCTTGTTACCGATGTAAGTATATCTTTCCCTAGTTAAAAAATTCGAGTTTTTATTTTCATAATATAATATAAATAAATGACCGGTTAACAATCACATTCTTTTAAATAGTACATTTGACATTGAAGTAGGTATTTTCTCCATATTGCCAAACAGGAACAGATGGTTTACTTGTAATTTGAATTATATTACATAAATCTCACTGAATTTCTCTATAATTCTCATAGCAATATGTACACAAACCACTTATCCAATAATATATAACCATGTAAAAATAACATTTCAAGAACGAGAAATTTTATAAAACCGGTCCTGTCTGAACAGATCTAGGAAAATCAAATAGGTTTGTCAAAGTTTTGTTCTTAATTTGAAATTAGAAATTGTGCGACTCACTCACTTATAACTAATAACAAAGTGCAGATTATCGGTGTTCACGTATTACAGAACACACAAACTAAAAATCAGTATAGCCAAAACATAAATTTACCTAACATGGCGACAAGCTTGAATGGGGTCATTGTTTTGTATTGACAGTATACGCCAAGCGGTATCTAGACTTTCTGAGGGCTATGGGCCTAATATACTTAAAATATACTTATTTTTTTGTGATAGTTCTGATTTCCAATTTTGATAAATAACGGCTATTCATCAGATTGAAAAGTATCATGAGCCATATTTCATAATGCAATTGTAAAACTTTTAACTTGATTTTCTCGAAATAATCTTTTTGTGAAATGACATCTTTATCCACTTGTGTCTTTAATTATGAAATTCAAATTTCAGGACGATTCAAATTACCCTGTTTAGTTGTTGAGCAGTGTATATAAGTATGTGCGTTTACTCTTAAAAAAATCGATGTATTTCTAGTCACGTCAGTATCAAACCACGAAGTTACACCGTCATTTTACCTTTTAATGATCGTAATATAAAAAAGTTTATTTCTCTGTTTATTTATTAAAATCAATAATTTGAAATCACTTTTATTACTTTAATTTTCTAGGTATATTTTTTCTATTATGCTATTATTTTACTTTTTTATTTTGGTATATTGTATTTTATTTTTATTATAATCTAACGAACGGCCCAATAATTTTTATAATGGCTGATATCGATAGCATTAAATTCTAGGAGTCGTTTAATAATGACTATATATGCTAACACGTATTATTAGTAATAGTATTATTATTAACAAGTAATCAACGAAAAATTAATCATTATAGATAGTTTAGACATACAGGGTCGCTAGACGAAAATGTATCAGAGCTATTATAAGGAACTGCACCAATATTTTTGACAAACGCTCGGACCAGTCAATTTTGATTAAATGGGAATATCCTATCATAATTTTAAAAAATTTTAACTAATACAATTTACATAGGGAAGGTACTAAGTAGATATGACTCATGATTGAAAATGTTGCGTTGCTTTTCCGAGCTGTGTGTAGCTATCATGGACGTGACTTTCGTCTCTTTTTTGTCGGTCATATGCCTTAATTTAAAAAAATTTTCTATGGTTGACACTTTATATTAAATATCCAAAATGATAATGATTGGAATTTATTATTCTACTTTGCTGATGTACTTTAACTAATCTTCTATTTATTTATTTTTTTTTTTTTCAGCTATCTGGACTAGGAATTATAATATCAGGAGCAGTAGTTCTATCCAACGTATCCGATTTTGACCACTTTGTTTCAAGCGACCTTCTCGGACCTCCAATTGTTTTGATAGTTGCTGGAGTTGTAGTTTTTATCATTGCGTTTTTAGGATGTTTCGGGGCCATAAGAGAGTCATACAACTTGCTCATGGCAGTAAGTATTTAACTATACAGGATGATGCTAAGTTGATATTTCTTTTTTAACTGTGTATATACATGTCTACATTTTGTAAAGGTAACACGTACTCCAAATCGCTCTGTAAAGTACCCAGGCAGCAGACTGACTACATTTTGAAGACATTTTTTGGTAATTCTTGGTCATCGACGTCATGTTACCAAAAAATGAGGTGATTATGACGTCACTTCTTTAACGTCTTTTTGACGTCATAAATTCGACGTCAGTGTGACGTCAATTTATTGTCACTAATAAATTAAGGTTTATATTAAACGTGATTTCAATACAGAAATTAATAATCTACGGAAAGCAGTGAATTCTTCCGATAAACCTATCACTTTTTTCCGCGTTGGAAAAGCTAAACAAAATAGTCGCTATCCCCGATGGCTCAAAGTAATTATGTCCTCCGAACACGTCGTGAAAAACGTTTTACGAAATAAAAAGAAAGTCTTAGAAATAGCAACATTGAAAAACATTACCATTATCGACGACAAAACCCCTACCCAACAACAGAGAGTCTTCAAGACTTACGAGATGAATTGGAAGCTAAAAAGCAGAATGGCGAAAATAACCTAATAATTAAATATCATAACGGTATTCCAAAAATTGTGAAGGCACGTCCCTTTCAATCCCGCTAACCGACAACCTCCACAATTTAACGATTGCACCCTTATGTATACTAACCTGGATTCTCTAACTGCTAAATTCAATAGTTTTTGTGCTCAGTGCAACATTTTTCTCCCAGCATTATTTTAAATTCTGAAACTTGGCTCAAGTTGTCTATTCCCGATTCACTTATTAACATTCCTGGATTTAGAATTTACAGAAGCGACCGCGCAAATAATGTTGGTGGAGGGGTCTGCATCTACTTAGCGTCATCTATCACTTCAACTTACTCTGTCACCGCCTTAGATATCAACATTCCCAATATAGATTTAATTTCGTTAAAACTATCATACAAATCTTTCTCAACCACTCTGGTATATATATATATATATATATATATATATATATATATATATATATATATATATATATATATATATATATATATAAATAATTTTTTTGTTAGTGAAGATGATTTTTTATCTGACCACTTTCCTGTTAATTTAGTACTAAACTTTGATGTTACATCATCATACTCTCAACCTAATGAACTAAGAAGTGATATTCAAAACCATAAAAAAATTATCTGGAAAAACTCTTTATCTTTAAGTTATAAATTAAAAATGAATCAATCAAATAGAGCATATTTTATCTCTAATCCTGAGGAGTCATTTACTAATTTTTGTTCAGCTATACAAGAAACAGCTACTGACTTAAATCTATACACTGTAAATAGTGCCACACCCCTAAACACAAAAACACAAACTAATAAACCATGGTTTGACTTTTTATGTATTAATGCCAAAAAGAACATGAAAGAATCTTTAAAAATTTGTAGAAGCAATAATTTTTCTGAAAATTCAAAACAAACTTACCTAAACTTAAAAGCAGAATACAAAAAAACCATTAAATTAAGGAAAAAAGAATACGAAGCTGAAATTATTATTAAATTATCCAATTTGAATGATCCCAAAGAATTCTGGCAGACAATTAAACAGTTCCGTAGCACATTAAATCGCAAAGTTCTACCAATATGTATTTGGGAAAATTTTTACCAAAACATATATCCTCCTAGAACAACGTTGACTCTTACCTTTCAAGATGTCACCCACCCCTTTCTGGATGCTCCTTTCTGTACAAAGGAAATTTATAAAGTCATTAATAATTGTAAAATTAATAAGTCACCTGGATGTGATGGAATAACTTATGAGTTTTTTAAAAATCTTCCAAATAATTGGATTATTTATTTAATATCGTTATTTAATTCAATATTTGAAACTGCAGTTATTCCGAAATCTTGGTCTAACATTTTATTAGCTATGCTACATAAGGGGGGGAGCGACAGATAATCCTGAAAACTATAGAGGATTAGCTCTGGTCAACTGTTGTGCTAAAATATTCACTTCCATTATTCTCAACAGACTGTCACAGTGGACCGATGAATGTAATATCCTTCCAGAATGTCAAGCTGGCTTTCGTTTAGGGCGAGGTTGTCAAGATAATGTCTTCACCTTAAGCAGTGTTATTAATTTACATATAAGGCATAAAAAGAGAAAATTGTTTGCAATTTTTGTTGATTTTAAAAGAGCTTTCGACTCAGTTGATCATGTGGATTTGTGGAACAAATTATTTCATGTAGGAGTGTCATCAAAAATTCTCCGTGTAATAAAAATGCTTTATTAGCACGCTGCGGTACAAATAAAGGGATCTGATGGGCTATCCAAATCGTTTGAAGTGACAACGGGCGTCCTACAGGGAGAACCTCTAAGTCCCTTATTATTTGCACTGTTTATAGCTGACTTTGATACCTTTTTTTATGAGAACGGTGCTCAAGGTATAAATATTGATGACAAAAATGATGTTTTGTCGCTAATATATGCTGACGACCTTGTCATTTTAGCACACTCTGAGATTGATGTTGTTAAAAAGTTAAAAATTTTAGAAAAATATACTGTTGCTAATAAATTAAATGTTAATTTACAGAAAACAAAAATAATGCAATTTTCTAAGAGAGGTTTCAGGACGCCTAACTTTAATTTTTACTTTAACAACCAACTTATTTCTATAACTAATAAATATACATATCTAGGAGTAGTATTTACTTCATCAGGTCTTTTTAATGAAATGGCTCATTTTACTGCCAACAAAGGTAAACAGGCTATAGGTTCTCTCCTTCCGATAATGTCGAAAGCTAAAATTAATACTTGGCATCCTAGAATCAAATTATTTGAGTCACTTGCCCTTAGTGTTATGTTTAATTGTATTTCTGTTTGGGGCCTAAGATACTTAGATGTATTGGAAAGAGTCCAGTTATATTTCCTTAAAAGAGTTCTTTTAGTTCCCATCACTACTCCTGATGCTATAATCCGTTTAGAGACTGGAAGAGTAAAGTTTGCATTTAATATTTTTAAAATGTCCCTTAATTGGATACAAAAAATAATGACAATGGATAATCATCGATATCCAAAGCTTTGTTTTAAACAACAATTGCGTTTGATCAACTCTACAGATATAAAGTATAACTGGATAGTACAGTTGAAAAAGTTCTTTGTTGATATTGATTGTGTTCATAAATGGAACAATTTAAACCATCCTTCTTTTAGTTCATATAGAAAAGAATTGTATTTTACACATTTACATGATTCGCTATCCTTTTATGTATTTATATAATTACCTTCCTACATCTTGTGAACCAAGTACATACTTACTCTTTAAATTACCAATCCAGGTTACCAGTACTTTTGCTCAATTGCGTATGTCCAACCATTTTAGGATTAAATTTACATTAAATGGTATTAGTTATGTTATTGACCCCGAACTAGATTGTACTGTGTGTAATACACATGAAAAAGAAACAATTTTTCACATACTTTTTGATTGCCGTATTTACTCAACAATGAAGCAAAATATCGTTTGCCTTGAAAATGTAAACTCATTGCTGCATACTTTACAAAATATAACAATTTTTGAAGCTAGGAAAATTGCTGAATATATTTGGAATATATTAAAATTGTGCTCTTTTGTACTGGAAGAATAATGTTGTTTTTATGTTTTAAGATCTAATTTTTTTATATCTGTACTCATTGCTGTAACTCAGGTTTAGAAGCAATAAATATTATTATTATTATTATTATTATTATTATTATTATTATTATTATTATTATTATTATTATTATTATTATTATTATTATTATTATTATTATTATTATTATTATTATTATTATTATTATTATTATTATTATTATTATTATTATTATTATTATTATTATTATTATTATTATTATTATTATTATTATTATTATTATTATTATTATTATTATTATTATTATTATTATTATTATTATTATTATTATTATTATTATTATTATTATTATTATTATTATTATTATTATTATTATTATTATTATTATTATTATTATTATTATTATTATTATTATTATTATTATTATTATTATTATTATTATTATTATTATTATTATTATTATTATTATTATTATTATTATTATTATTATTATTATTATTATTATTATTATTATTATTATTATTATTATTATTATTATTATTATTATTATTATTATTATTATTATTATTATTATTATTATTATTATTATTATTATTATTATTATTATTATTATTATTATTATTATTATTATTATTATTATTATTATTATTATTATTATTATTATTATTATTATTATTATTATTATTATTATTATTATTATTATTATTATTATTATTATTATTATTATTATTATTATTATTATTATTATTATTATTATTATTATTATTATTATTATTATTATTATTATTATTATTATTATTATTATTATTATTATTATTATTATTATTATTATTATTATTATTATTATTATTATTATTATTATTATTATTATTATTATTATTATTATTATTATTATTATTATTATTATTATTATTATTATTATTATTATTATTATTATTATTATTATTATTATTATTATTATTATTATTATTATTATTATTATTATTATTATTATTATTATTATTATTATTATTATTATTATTATTATTATTATTATTATTATTATTATTATTATTATTATTATTATTATTATTATTATTATTATTATTATTATTATTATTATATCTCCAAAGAAAACTTTTTTGTGGTGGTTGAAGATTTCAACTTTCCAGAAATTTTCTGGCCACTTACTGCAGGTCTTGAAGTATGAAGTATGAAATATGTGGAAAAAATTTAAAGCAACCAAAAGACATGATGATTTTGTTAACCGTCGACGTTTCTCAAACGATTTAATCAATGTTATTGATAACGCAAGAGAATACGAAGAATATATCGCTAGTAGCGATAACCTAAGAAGCTATTTAAATACAAGATGATCTCTATCTTCCAAAGTATCAGTCCCGCTTCTTTAAAAAATGGATGAAATGTTATGTAATAATAATCAAGAAACAGCTGAAGCTCTGGTCAACCATTTTTTGTTTTCCTTAGAACCCACAGGTGACATCCCAGTTAGCCACGATGCCCGAACAGCAACCTCTTTATATAATATCGAATTATCATCTGAAATTGTTAATGAAAATCTCAAAAAAATTCAATCAAATTCCTCACCTGGAATTGACAATTTATCCGCAATGCTTTTAAAAGAATGCGCATCTTATTTGACTTTACCTTTATCCAGTATTTACTTGTGAGATCCGAAATATATAAATCATTAATTTTTTTTAGTAAATCACTATTTTTGTACTTCAATTTATATATAAATTTATAACTTAAATATAATCTTCTTATATATAATGGCTATTCAACGCTTCTACATAGATATTACTATTTGGTGTACTTCTTAATGCTCCCAAGCATAATCTAAGACACTCATTTACTAATACATCTAATTTTTTTTTTGTATGTGTATTTGCAGCTTGATGGTAGAAAATTGAGCCGTAATCTACAATGGATCTTATAAATGATCTATATAGACATAAAGAAATGTTAGCATCTGTGACTCATGACGAATGTGTTACTGACCTTAATATATTTAGACCTTTTTCTGATTTGGTTACAACAGAGTCAATATGATCCTTCCATAGTAATTGTCTGTCCAATACCATGCCCAAATATTTAACTTTATGTTTACATTAAATTCTGTTGATTGTAGTTTTATATTTTTCAGGTAAATTGTGTTTTTTTGAAAATGTGCATGCTTGACTTTTAATCTCGGAAATTGTGAATCCTTTATTAAAACACAATGTTTTAATTTGACTGTAAAAGTTGCTAACACTTTGGCTCCCATTAGGTACAGAACAGTTATTTTTATATATACAGATATATGCATACTGCAGACAAATATAGTTTAAGCCGCCAAAATAGTGGTTACGTCGAGCAGAGCGTTGTGCTGAAGAAGTTATTTGAAAATATTGTTTATTTTAATAAGTTTTAGTTCTACACAGTATATTTAAAAAAGAAGTATCAATTTAGAAATCACCCTGTATAAAATGGTAATCAATTTTAAAATTATTGCGCTTTACAAAATACATAATACCGAATTTATTATTTAGATACTCTTTCTTATACGAGGCTCTAATTGAATTCTTTTCAGTTTGCAGGTTTGCTAATAATCATTTTTATTGTTGAAATTGCTGTCGGTGTAACAGCTGCAGTCTACAAAGGAGATTTTCAAGTCGCTCTTAAGGAAAATTTATTAAAATCTATAAAAGAGTACTCTAATGAAAATAATGCTGAGAAGATTCCTTGGGATAATGTTCAGAAAAAGGTAAAAAGCTCTTTCACACTACAATTTCAAAATCTAAAAAAGACGTAATCGATAGATTTCTTTAAAAAATCATTTTTTTTTTTTTTCTTTTTTTCGGAGTATTTTAGTTACACAGTGACGGCTGTATCTACTACCGAGGTAATCAGTGCAACTCTAAAGACAAACTTAACAAAAAGTAAATGATTTTTCGCGACTATGTTCATGTTCGCGACATATTCAAACTCGGCTTGTGCCTCCGTGCGATAATATTTCCCACTCGTGTGAAAAATGTCACTTTCCACACTCGTAATGTAATATGGGCCATTCTAATTTTGCGTGCAGGTAAACTGGTCCCTGCAAAATAATAGAGTACCAGAAATTCATGTTTAATATAAAAGTTGGGAAATTTAGATAAAAGTAGACATAAATAAAGTAACTTTAAGAAATTTAACTGATATTCTGTTAAGTTTAATAAAATGAAACACTTGGTAACAAAGTGGTTATTTTTGGTAACAGAGTTGATATACAGTTATCTGTTATCAACTTTTCTCGGTAAGTACTTATTTTTTGTTGTAATAAAAGGGCATACCTTTGAGGATTAATGGTACATTATGGCGCATGCAACTTTTTATGGGGTCCATGTGTTTAATTTAGCCAGAATTTCAGTAGATACATGAATTTTACAAATCTGTTACTGCTATACTATGTTACCGCAAGAAAGTAACATAGTAGTGGCAAAGGTAACAGAGTGGTAAAATCCATGTTAAAAATAATCAAACTGATGTTTATATTTTAATTTTTATTTAAATAAACAATACAGCAATATGCCTCTAACACCAGATGAAAAACAAAGGCAATACAGGGAATCGAAGGAAGCAAAATCCTGTAAAAGAAGCAGAAACAAGAGAGAAAGACCTTATAAGGTATCATACGAAAAAGAAGTTGGTCAAAGATGACACCAAGCAGGGAACATAGAAGCGCAAAAAAAATGGAAAAAGGCTAATAAAAAAGAAGCAGTTCAGCGACCAATGGCAATTGACACGCCACCAGCGTCTCCTGTTGGAACACCACGAAATTTAAGTCCTGCAATGCGCGCACATGTTTTGGGACGAAGAAAGGTTAGGCGCGATAGGTCAAAATTATTTAGAGAAAACCAGAAGTTGCTTACAGAAATTGAAAAAATTAGGAGGCAGTATCTGAAGTACAAAAAGAGATACTAAAGAACTAAAAAGAGACAGTCAGATGATAATAATAATAATGATGAGAATAAGGTTTTGTCAAATACAATCAAAATTTACTACTCAAAAATAAAAATTATTCAGCAAAACGATACATCCAGGACATATTCAATGAAGAGAAAGTAAAGAAGTCTAGGCATCAGTCGCAAATATTAAAAGGAAGCTTAGGAATTCAGCAAGGGTATGTAAGATGAAGAAGAGTAATAAAGAAAAAGTCGAACCTGGTTGTAGTGATTCAAGCTTTCTTTAAACGTGATGATGTTTCATGAGCTACAGCTGGCAAAAAGGAGACTGTCACGTGGAAAAAGCAAAAAGTGCAAAAGCGATATCTATTAGATTCCATGAAACATCTGTATGAATCTTTTAAAAAAGAGAATAATATGCTAAAATGTTCTTACAGCTATTTTACTAAACATAGGCCTTTTTTTGTAAAGCTACCTTCTATTAATGGAAGCGATACCTACCTATGCAAACTTCACACAAACGCTCAATATATGATAAATGCTTTGTATAACAGAAAAATAATTAAAATGCACAATATGGGTACTGTAGTAGAAGAAACAGTTTGTTCTTCGTACTCGGTTGATTGCATGACAAGTATATGTCTAAAATGTAAATCAAAGAAAATTAAGTATATTATTGATGAAATGAAAAAAAGTGATTCTATCCGATTTTCGCAGTGGGTAAGAAAATCGGAGATAGTTGAAAAATCTGGTAAACAAGTGAAAGTATTTAAGAATGTTAAAGAGTTAGTAGAAAAAGTTGTAGAAGAACTGATCATTATTTTCGAAAATACACTCAAACAATTGAAACACCACATTTACAACATCAAAATCCAATACAAATGTTACAGGGCTTGCATTGACGGTCTAGAAAATGATGAAGTAGCATTGCATATCGACTTCAGCGAGAACTATAGTTGTAAGCATTTCTAAGAGGTGCAGTCACACCACTTTGGTGGTTCAAGGAAGCAAGTATCATTACATACAGGGGTAATGTACCACTAAGGCCCAGTTGTACCATTTGAGTTCAGGCGAGGTTCAACTAAACTTGGTTTTGATTGTGACATTTGGGTATTGTTAGTACGATGTTTGTCACAGTCTAAACTAAGTTCACTTGAACCTCCCTTAAACTGGAGTGGTACAACTGGGCCCAAGAAAACGAATAAAAAATTGTTAGTTCATTTTGTTCTGTGTCCACAAATAATTCGCATACACCACCAGCAATTTGGGCACATTTACATCCCATTCAGATGAATTTACCACAAGTCAGCACTATCCATTTCTTTTCAGATGGGCCCGCTACACAGTACAGACAAAAACAAAACTTTCTACTTATATGTTCAGAAATTTTTATAAACGTGTAACGTGAAATTTTTTTTGAGGCAGGACATGGGAAGGGACAGGCGGACGGTGTAGGTGGTTTTCTCAAACGAATTGCAGATCAGATCGTAGCTACAGGCAAGAATATTTCAGATGCATTACAATTCTTTGAAGCTTTAAATGATTCTAGCAAAGTTAAACTCTACTTTATAAACGACGACGATATTGATCGAGTTGCAGAACATATTCCAAAACATATTTTGCCGCTGCCCGGTACCATGCAATTGCATCAAGTTTTTTTAGAAGATCCTGGTATTTTGTACTACCGTAAATTAACCTGTTTCTGCAAGAGAGGGTTTTGTAGATGTTTAAATCCACAAGTATACGAACCCATAAAAAAGATAATAAACCAGACAATGCCTGTTGTCTGCAAAGATGCTGTTATACAAGACATCCAAATGGAGATCCCTGTTGAATTTGAAGAAGCCAACCACGAATTGCAGCCCATAACTAGTAGAATAGGTGAAAGGTCAACTAAAGATCACGAAATAATCTCTCGTAAATCTATATTTAATCTTGTTTATTTATCAGACTCTGATTCTGAAGATCAACCATTAAGCAAAATAGCCAACCCAAAGAACCCCACAGAAGGTGGTACTTTGTACCAAAGTGTACCAAGTTTAGAAGGTATTTTAATGCATTCTAACAATATAACCGAAGGGGTATATCTTTTGGTCAAAGTTTTCAGTGAAAAGAGTAGCTTTTATACTTACCTTGGACTTGCTCAAAGTTCATAACGAAGGCGATGTTAAAATTATGTTCTTAAAAACCATATAAGCCATACGAAAATCTTATTAAAATTGTCTCTAACCCTATGAAATGCTATAAGGGTAAAAGAGTTTTTTGAGAGACCTCTTGAAGTTTTTAAAAAGTAAGACTGATTTTTTAAATATATTTTCTTAATATATATAATTTGCCAAAGTCACTCTTAACAAAAGAAGTTTTGAAGTTTTAAAGAGAATTTTGTTTTGTTCGATTAGTTGTTTTTTTATTAGGTATAAATGTCACCGTAGTTTGGGCTAAAAATGTCCTTGAAAAGAATGAAAGGGCTAAAAATGTCCTTGAAAAGAATGAAAGATCTGTTTTATTATATTTGTTCGTGTTATAATTAGATTTTTGTATTTTCATTAGCAAAGAGCCCCACTATGTTACTTTCTGTGCAACTCTGTTACTTTTTGAGTTCCCGACATCTTAGTATGCTTTTCCGTTTTTTTGGTTCTGTTACTAAATATATCATGTTAAAATTGTAACCATAGCTAAATGGAACAGTTGCATAATTTATGTCAATTTTTTAAATTAGTTTTTTCTGAAAGCAACAAAAGTAACATAGTTGTCTTGCAGGTCTCAAAATTTCAGAAAAAAACAAATAAATTTAATAAAGTGACATAAGTTTGTGATAAATATTATAAGTTCCTTTCATTTGTGAGTGTTAGAAAGTTTGTAATATTTAAGTGTTTAAATATATTAAAATAAGTTTTGCAGTAACAGAGTGTATTATTTTCCTGGTTTCATCTATTTTTATCTAAAATAATTCTGTTAAATACAAAAAAAGTGTGCTGTTTTTACATTAATCTTAAAGAAAATAGATTAATTGTTCGTTTTCAACACAAAAATTAACATTTTTGTACAATTATAGTTTTTCAATTTTATTAGTTTTATGTTTCAAAAACCTGCACAGAAAAGTATAATGGCCCATATACTATATTGGCGTAATAATTTCATTTTTAATATATTGTTTAATAAGGTAATATCGATCCTCTGTTGAAAAATGAACTTGAAATTGTAATCGCCATAAAAACATTAGTATTTTTGTACACTACAATTTTCAACAAAAATTTTTTACTCCTGCTTTTACATAAAACTTCGTGGAAGTAAATCAATAAAAAATTACCTATAATTACACAAAATTATTTGTAGAAGATATTTAGAAACCCTGTAATTAGTAGGTTCTAATTTTAACTAATCCGAATGGTTTTACCCACTGATTATTAATTTGTAGTGTTTTTATAACGAGCCAACGTAAATTTTTGAACAAAACGTGTAGAAAATTATATTTTTATTGATTTTTAGTTAAAATGCTGCGGAGTGGACGGCCCAACAGATTGGCAAGGACAAAACATTCCATTGTCTTGTTGTACGGAAGAAAAACAGCAAGAAACTATTCAATATTGTTCTGAAAACGGCGTAGGTAATTACATGTACCAAAGAGGTTGCTACGAATATTTAACAATCAAAATAGAATCAAACGCAAAAATTCTTGTTGGAGTTGGAATTGGTATTGCTTTTATTGAGGTAAATAAAATTAGTTTATTTTTTTTTTTTTAAATCTGGAGAACATAAGTTACAATTTTCAAAAAGTTTGAAAATCAAAAGTTCGATTGAAATAATTTTCGAAAGTACTAAAGTTCGAAAGTGGGAAAAGATCGAAATTAAAAAAAAGATCGTAATTAGAACAAATGATCGAAATTACATGTAGGCCAGTCAGTAAAAACATCCTATTTTGAACATTTCACATTAATTACAAAAGTTTTCAAACTTTGCAATAATAATCGGCTAGTTTAAATAACACTAAGTTTAAATTTGCAACCATTTCCAAGGTCCGGAACTAGTTAATTTATACCCAAATGGCGCTTCTGTTTATAATGTTGAAAAAAACATAGCAAAGGTGCTGCAAACTTGAAGCAATATATATTGTATTATTTTCAACATTATATCAGATTTGCAACTTTTTTGAAAGTCCGGAACATTATTTTTTTTTTAAAAATAGAGTTTTTGTTTATATCGTAGACAAAAAAATTGCAAAAGGGCTGCAAACCGATGCCATATCTCGTACAAGTTTTTAGAACAGCTATTCCAACTTGAAACCATTTATTTTGCACGGAAATATTTTTTTTTGTAAAAATATCAAAATATTTTTTTATTTTCCTCTAATTTTGTCAAAATAAAAATGCAAAAGTTTTGAAAATGGGTTGCAAATGTTAATATTATTTTTCTTAACAATCTGGTAAATTTGCAACCTCGGACAAGGTCCGGAACCTTAAAAAATTAACAAAAATCAACAATTCGCACATTTTGCAGTTGCCAAAAAAATTTGAAAAGTACTGCAAATTTTACAGAACGATTTAAATACCTTCCTATAAATAAATGTAAATTTGCAACGCTCCATAATTAATGCAAAGATTGTAAATTGTCTATGACCAATTTTGCATTGCGAAATTAATAGAAAAGTGTCTAGAGTAACAAAAAAAAATATTCATAAGCAATGTGGAATTTGCAACCTTATTCTCATGAAGCAGAATATTTAAATCATTTTTTGTTTTCATGTTTTATCGAGTTTACAGAGAATATTTATATTTCTCCCATATTATTATTAAATAATTGGCCGACACGGTATAAACTAGTACATAGAAGAGAAAACAATCAATATCCTAAATCGAGCAAAGAATAAGAAATTAACCCAATACCATTGTAAATAGGCCATTTAGGTAATACCTAAAGGTTTGTTTTTGAGTTATATCGAACCGTCGCGTCGGCGTCGGTCGATTGTAGTTTTGAAATAGAGTTTATTTTTCAAGAAAACGTCGCTATGTTATAACTACCAATTGAATTAGACGAGTGTAGGTAATGTACAACTCGAATGGATAAGTTTTGTTCCCAAAGTAATGGATTCGGAGTACCGTTAGAAACTTACTTTGATTGCCCGAATGAAGACACATTATCCGATAACGAATACCAAGATCGACTTCCACATATCCAATTTTAAGAATCGATGAATTTAGAAGAAATTAATATTGAGATAACTAATGTTTTTGATAATCCTGGACCATCCGGTTGCAGAAACCAAAGTCTCATAATTTAAATCATGTTTTGTTTTTGTAAATTTATTTCATTAAAACAGCAGTTTCATAATAGGTACCTTAATTTGTATATTATTTCCTTTTAATTTTATTTTTCCATTTTCAATTTTGTTTGAAGTAGAACCAACTGTCTCAAAGTTTCAAATGATGTATTTCTTTGGTGACAAAATACCGTTTTCCATTTCCTTGTTTTATCAATAAATATTTTGTATACAATTAATACAATGATTATTTTAAAAAGCTACTAGTAGAACTTTCTTATCAAAAATAACATTCTTGTGGGTCATTTAATAATGTTTTATTTACTCGGCCTTATAACTGAAACCTAAAATTGACAAATAAAAAAATAAAACTATACCTGTAAGAAGCTTTTAGCTTTTTGTCATTTCTCGGTAGCAAATTTCAAAATTTTTTGCACGGTTGAATACAGAATAAAACCCCCTTTCAAATGAGCTATCACTCACCACTCCATGCCATTTAAATTTTTCGTAAGGGATAAAATTAAGGGTATAATATTCATACAAAAATGTACATTGTAGAAATCAAAAATCGACGTGTCTCGGCGATTTTCCTAACAAGACTCCAGTAACGAGTTAGTTAGGGGAGGTAAGACTTATGGTGCTCACTGTATGTAAAGAATTCAAGTAAACATTAATTTCTGTCGTCATCCTCATCTTCATTTGTTTTTTCGTCAGAACTAGCAGTTTATGTAAATGCATTGATCCGTTAATTTCAGTCATTATTGCATGATTGAATGACTAAAGTAATATCTTCGTTTATTTATCATTATTGTTATTAAAAATTTTATCTTTTAAATATAAGTTATAAATATATTAATTATTTTTTTTTAGAAGTATATATTATATTATATTATATTATATTATATTATATTATATTATATTATATTATATTATATTATATTATATTATATTATATTATATTATATTATATTATATTATATTATATTATATTATATTATATTATATTATATTATATTATATTATATTATATTATATTATATTATATTATATTATATTATATTATATTATATTATATTATATTATATTATATTATATTATATTATATTATATTATATTATATTATATTATATTATATTATATTATATTATATTATATTATATTATATTATATTATATTATATTATATTATATTATATTATATTATATTATATTATATTATATTATATTATATTATATTATATTATATTATATTATATTATATTATATTATATTATATTATATTATATTATATTATATTATATTATATTATATTATATTATATTATATTATATTATATTATATTATATTATATTATATTATATTATATTATATTATATTATATTATATTATATTATATTATATTATATTATATTATATTATATTATATTATATTATATTATATTATATTATATTATATTATATTATATTATATTATATTATATTATATTATATTATATTATATTATATTATATTATATTATATTATATTATATTATATTATATTATATTATATTATATTATATTATATTATATTATATTATATTATATTATATTATATTATATTATATTATATTATATTATATTATATTATATTATATTATATTATATTATATTATATTATATTATATTATATTATATTATATTATATTATATTATATTATATTATATTATATTATATTATATTATATTATATTATATTATATTATATTATATTATATTATATTATATTATATTATATTATATTATATTATATTATATTATATTATATTATATTATATTATATTATATTATATTATATTATATTATATTATATTATATTATATTATATTATATTATATTATATTATATTATATTATATTATATTATATTATATTATATTATATTATATTATATTATATTATATTATATTATATTATATTATATTATATTATATTATATTATATTATATTATATTATATTATATTATATTATATTATATTATATTATATTATATTATATTATATTATATTATATTATATTATATTATATTATATTATATTATATTATATTATATTATATTATATTATATTATATTATATTATATTATATTATATTATATTATATTATATTATATTATATTATATTATATTATATTATATTATATTATATTATATTATATTATATTATATTATATTATATTATATTATATTATATTATATTATATTATATTATATTATATTATATTATATTATATTATATTATATTATATTATATTATATTATATTATATTATATTATATTATATTATATTAATGGGACGCAAAGCCGTCTCTGTTCCTTATTTACTCCTTGCCCGCGGTATAAAGTCTAGCGCTGGCCATATAAAGACAAACGCACTGCTTCGAGAAACTACCGGAGTGATCTATTTGGAGCGTATTCAATTAAAGTGTTGGACAGTAAAGACAAATTGTAATAAATAAATTAGAATCGTGAATTATAATAGTGTCTAAGTATTATATAAATTAATAAGTACGATATAAATAAATTGTAAATAGTGTTTTAAATAAATAAACTATAAATAAATTAAACAAATGTTACATTAACCTTGCTCAATGGTTTGTGTCGTTTCCTGTTCCTCTTGTTTATGCTCCTCAGTTTCAATATTTTGCAGTACTATTTAATTTATGGTGTTTAGCCTAGCTTCACCGTCAAACTACTTGAAAGTCATCGTCAGACAAATCCCAACCATGATGGGAAGCATTTTCGTGCACTGTTGGAACTTTCAAATGGGCGTTACAACAAATTTCGGCAACGTAAGATACTCGCAATAGTTGTTGATATAACTCAGCTTTGCAGGCTGGAATAGTAGAGGCATCAAAGTTTCGTAATGTCTTTTTGAATTATTATTTATCACTCTTCATGCTGTACGATTTTAAAAATAGAGCCAATTTGACTTCGTTAATGTCCTTGATGTAGTTTTAACCATACAACCTGCAAGAATGTATAACGTTTCGTACGAATCGATGTATGACTTGTTAATTATTCTGGGTACGGTCGACTTTAGGTCCAGTAAAATTTAAAAAAAAATTATTTTTTATCAGAAAGAGCGTATTTTAAATAGTACATTTAAAAAAATTGCGGTAAATGCATTATTTAAGCCAAAAAAATGTATTTAATTTCTATAAAAATCAGCATTTTGACGACTGTAAACATGGAAACTCGATGGTTTCTGTCAAATTTAGAAAATATAATTACAACGTTGCCGGATTGTGATAAAATTAGTAGTTAATGGAAAATTGTGATTGCGCATACCGATCCATAAATATACAACAAGAAAACGAAGCAACGACTTATCGTAGGGTGGCGGCTTCGCCCCAAAAAACATTAACCCATACCTGGCTACGCCGACCGGCATAGACTCCAACGGCCTGGACACAGC